TTGGTTCTTCAAAGATGGCTATTGGAGTTTGAGAGACCTCCACTTCTGCCATCTGAGTTTCCTTCTCAGCTTCTCCAGAGTGCCTTTGGACTTCTACTGCTTTCTCCATGGTTTCTGGAATAGCTGACTGTTCCGGAATTTCTGCTGACTTTTCCAGAATCTCAAGTTGTGTCTGATTGGAGATCTCACAAGGAGTAGTAAGGATCTCGAGCACTTGAGATTGGATTAGTCGCTGAAATTCTTCTTCTTCAGTTGCTTCCTGGTTCTGCTCTTGTGGGGGAGAGGCTGCCTTCTCTTGAACAGTTTCAGTCAGAACCATTTCAAACGCAGGTGAGGTTTCCAGAAAGATAGGGAAATCCTCAGCTGTTGCTTCCAAAACAGCTATTACTTCAGAGGTGAGAGCCATTTGTTCTTCTGTGGCTCTAGTGAAGACTGGCTTGAAGACAGCAGTGTCTTCATCATCTGCTTCACAGTCTGAAACTGGTGTGTTGGCCAGGTATTCCATATGCAGGTCTTCTGGGTTCTTTTGCCATACCCAGTAATCATTCAAAATATCTTCACAATTGTGGTTGACTGTAATACCTAAGCACTTCTTGATAATCTTCTCATTCTTCAGCTGTTGGTCCCAATCCAACAGTTGCTCTTCTGAATTTCCAACTTTCCAAGCTCTCCAATTATAGTAGAGCTGCCAGAATTTGTTATCAGCATCATCTGTATGAGGCTGAGATGAGGGGGTTGGAAGGCTTGGGACTTGAGGAGTTTCTTCTTCAAACTGTTGAGGACTCCGGTTTTGAATAGAGGTTTTCTCAGCAGTTTCCTTCTCCTTCAACTCATCCGGATTGACATTTCCAGATGTTGATGGAGAGTTGATCTTTCTCTTTTTCTTCCTTTGAAGTTCTCCATGGTCAGAGACTTCTTCTTCTTCTTCCAAACATGCCAAGGTAAGGTTTTGTGGTGCTTCAATACTAATGGAGGGAGACACCACTTGCTTTCTTTTGGCAGTCTTTGCCATATGGATGAGCAGGACATTATCTGATGAGCTTTCTTCTGCAGTGGCACTAGCACTGGCTCTGTTTTCTCCTTTTGAAGACAGATAGTATAACCAGTATCTTTCTCCATACTTCTTTCCTTTAGAAGCAATA